CGCCCCCTGTCCCGGCCCCCCCCTCCCTGGGTTCCCTCAGCCCAGTCCGGTCCAGCCCGGTTCCCGGGAGGATGAAGTTCGTGTATAAAGAGGAGCATCCGTTCGAGAAACGCCGCTCTGAGGGCGAGAAGATCCGAAAGAAATACCCGGACCGGGTCCCGGTAAGGACGGTAGCCAGGGCCGAGGGCGCGGGGCGCTGGCATTGACGCCACAGCCTGGGCTTGGGTCCGGAACGGACAGTGCGGCCATTAGGCTGCGGGTTGTGGTGGGTCTGGGAACGACCCTGAAACTCCCGTCTCTGGGACTGGAGGTGAAAGGGCTAGTGGTGGTAGCTGGGGTTGAAGGGTTGTAGATGGAGGAGATAGACCTTGGGATTCGTGTCGGAGGCTGTAGGGAGTTTGACAGTCTGAATGTCACATGGTTATTTCCTCCAGCTAGCTAGGTTTTTGAGATTAAAGGCTGTAGTCGGCCCAGACAAGTCGTCCCCATCTGGTTAAGATAGTTGTTTATTATGACGCCCTCTATTCAGGGACCTGGATGTTGAGGCGAGTTGAGTCAGTGGGGTTCCGGATCTCTTTCAGGGCTGCACCACGTGTTCAGAGACAAAGAAATGAGTCTGGGGTAGGTTTGGGCGCTAGGGATATTGTTGCTTGAGTTCCTGACAGGTGGAGCTGTGGGATTGTAATATCTAATGTCTTCTAATTTTTATCTTCCCTTTATCAGGTGATAGTAGAAAAGGCTCCCAAAGCTCGGATAGGAGACCTGGACAAAAAGAAATACCTGGTGCCTTCTGATCTCACAGGTGGGAACCTTACCCAATACTCAGGTTTGCTACCTGTGGGAGGAGGCTCCACACAGCAGCTGTTCTTTTAGGACAGTTGTGATATCTGTGACTTTATCACATCTTATATTTTTGGCAGTTGGTCAGTTTTATTTCTTGATCCGGAAGCGAATTCATCTCCGAGCTGAGGATGCCTTGTTTTTCTTTGTCAACAATGTCATTCCACCCACCAGTGCCACCATGGGTCAGCTATACCAGGTATGGTGATTGAGAAGTAGTGGTGGTTTTGGAGAGGAGTTGGAAGAGCTTGAGGGGAAGAAAGTTTCAGGTCAGCAGTTCTTGAATTTGCTGTGTAGTCCTGGGTTGGGGGTTTCGACAGGGCAGCGGCAGTAGACAAGGAAGGGAACAGCGAGTTGGAGCAACTGTTCTGATAAGGACCCTCCCAATCCCCTCTTCATTCCAAGGCAGCAGAGAACAGTTTGAGGTCTTTTTTTGCCCAGGGCTGCTGCTAGGGATAATCCTGTTAGGCTGCTAGTCCCTGGAACAAGTGAGGGAGAGAATGAGGGCACTGGTTTGGGGGGGTCTTCAAAAAATGATTTTTGAAGAATGTGTATGGGTGGTGTGTGGTTTAAGTAAGGGCCAGATGCCTGAGCACCATTATTTTCTGCTTTCACCCCAGGAACACCATGAAGAAGACTTCTTTCTATACATTGCCTACAGTGATGAAAGTGTCTATGGCCTGTGAAGCTGCTGCGCCTGTGGTGGGGGGTCCCATTCTACAGAGAGAGAGGTGGCCCCCCCTTCCTTGACCTCCTCTCTTCAGGACCTGCACTTCCTAATGTTTGAGGCTCTTCTCCAGAATCTCTTAGCAGGAGGGTTAATGGGGGAGATGGCCTCTAGTATCTCTCCTTTCTCCTGCCTTCCCCTCTCTCTACCACCTTTTCCACTCTGCTTTAGACTTCTTGATTGTCGATCTCTGTCACATCCAGTGATTGTTATGGTTTCTGTTCCCTTTCTAATTGCCCAAGGGGCTCAGAACCCCAACAATCTTTTCCTTTCACTACCTTTTTTGGGGGTAGATGGAAGGGAATGAAATTGTGGGGGGAAGGTAAGAGGCACATCAATAAAGAGGAAACCACCAAGCTGAACTGGATTTTTGCTTTGTGTTGCTGCCTTCTCCCTTCTCTGTTTTACTGGTCAGTGGGAAAAGATGAAGTTGGAGGGGTAGTAATATATTTTGGTTTATTCTGTTGATGTTGGACTTTTCCTTGTGCATAAAAAGGGTGCTTTTTGTTGTAATGGATGGGATACTCTGAGTAATGTTTCTTGAAACTTCAGTTGCATATGTGTGTGTATTGGACCCTGATATAAAAGAGCAACTTTTTTACTGTGGGTTTCGGTGGAGAGAGTTTAAAAGTATCTGCTTTAGATAAATACATCCAAGATTGTTATAACCTTTTGGATTAAGGAAGAGATTTTCCTATGTGGAGGCTCAATCCTCAGTTGCATGTCACTTGGCCAGACTCTGTGCAGGCATGTGGGATCTAGTAGAGTGGGATCCAAAGGAGGGAGAAGACTAGAAAAAGGGAGCCATTATCACCAGAAGAACTTCATCTCCCAGCAACCACTTCTCGGACCGGAAGTGGTGCGGTCCCCGGAGGGAGAAAAGCTGCAGAATATAGCAGTATGGTGGCCGAGAGTTCTAATCCCTTCTTTCCTCTTCTTTCTTAGTCCCGCCCAGCCTACAGTTCCCAGGAGCCTGCGCGCGCTCTTCCGCTCTGGCTTCTGCTCCGTCCCCGCCACTCCCCGGGGGAGGGGAGCGGTTTAGTGCGCCTGCGCGAATCCGTAGCTTGCTGGGAACTGAAGTTCCTAAGGCTTATGACATCCCCTTCCTGCTGCCCCCAGATGGACTACAAGTGCCTTGATGCATTGCGCGTCAGCGCCCGCGAAGGGAGGGGAGGAGGGAGTGGGGAGGAGGAGGAGGGAGCAGGCGGCCGGCGGCGCGGGGGGAGGGGGCTCGGTCCGGGAG